TGACCACTTTGACCACTTCCTTGTCCATGGATAAGGTCGAGGATAAGGGTTATACATGAAAATATAAGGATTCTGTAGATCCTGGGAACTTGAAGGATCAACTCATGTGCACTTGGCACATTTAGAATTCTTGTTTTCAACATCAAAGGTGAAGTCTGACAAGTGGAACAAAGTTAGCTGAATGATGAGAAAAGGAACAATAATACAGTGAGCAGAAAAAATAGAGGAAGTCAAAGAACTAGATCACTAACTAGATATGGGGAGCAATGGAGAGAAAGGAGTCAAGCACATGAGAGAAAGAGTAGTGCCAAATCAGTGTATAAAAAGAAGGGAGAGAAAAGAACCACTTTGTAAGTAGCTATCTCTAGTTTTAAACACATTGGGTTTTTGGTGAATATGGGAATACACACTTATGTTTTATTGCTTATAAGAAGCATATTTTTTCACATTTTAATATTTGTAAAATCCAAATGCATGGCACAAGCAAAAGAGTCTTATAATTGCCAGTGGGCTTTCTTTCTTGATTGTATGTAAAGTATTGGTGCATATTACAGTGAATAGTAGCTTAAATTGGATGAAATATGATATGCCATGGATTTTAGTCTCATCCTAAATCATTCATAGCCAACTCTTCTAGCTATTAGACATCATTTGTGATATCTTTAGTGAACTTCAAGCTCTCCTCACCCTGAAACCAATTCCAAAATTCAGGCTGCACAGCACATTCTAAGTCATGATTAGAATCCCAAAACAGATATGCTCTGATCTTGCTCTTTAAAGAAGAGTGATTTAGAGCCACATTATCATTTTAAAATTCTCTCTCTCTAAATCTCCTCCATGTGTCTGGAAAAGAAAAGGATATTATTACCTGAGAAATTGTTCAAATACCTTGCCGTGAATACACCATATCTTACAGGCAGAAGCCAGGGTGAGGATCAACGTCTTCTCAACTGCCTCCTGCACCAATCGGCAGTATTCTGAAACTGTGCACACCACTTAAATCATGACTGCTTGGATTCAGAGCAAATGTCCCCTAGATTTCTTTTCATCACTTCTTGTCAATGTATTTTTTAAAAGAACCACGCAAAAACTCTGAGTAATTTTCAAAATGGCCTTCTTATCTAGTGACTTCGTGAGACCTCATGCTAATAAGGAGCTTAAGGGTGATAAACTAACATAAAATATATCCCAGACTCAGTCTCTCGTGAGATTCCAGAAAATGTGCTTAGTTAAAGATTAAAGCTTAGACCGGAATGTTATGCTTGAATTTTTGTGCGCCTTCTTGTAATCAGAATGAGTAATGTTTTTTCAATGAGCAGAAAGTTACTTGATAACTAAGATAAGTTACTTATAGTTTCATTATAGCAATAAGTTAAATAAAGAGTGTATGTGTGTGTGTGTCTGTGTGAGAGTGTACATTACTATGAATACAAATAAGGAAAAGATGCAAGACACATTTCCTATCATCAAGTGGTGGACACACACATATAAACATCCCCTTTCAATTGAATGAGGGGAAAGCAGAGAAATAAGCATTATGCTTTGAGAATACAAAAGCACAAAAGATTTAATCTGAAAGTGAGAGGGCTTTAGAGAAGAAGGTGTAGTTGAGATATGCTTGATAGGTGGGTGATTAGGGGAGGGCATTACAGGCTGAGGAATTAGGTGCAAACGCCTGGAAGCATATTATGTGTCCAGGTAATGGCAACAGTCCTCTGTGTTTGGAGTACAAATTCTACAGAAGGCTGAAGTGAGGAATGAAGCTTCAAAGACAGTTAATGTAGTTAGGTCCAGACCACTGGTCTATGCTAAGTTGTTTGTTTATTATTTTGAAGGGAATGAAGACAATATTAAAGGGTTCTGAGGAATGGGGAATTATGACTGGACCCATGCAAAGCTTTTACATTGAAGAAGACCTCAAATGTACAGTCTTACATCACTCCACAAATGAGAAGTATGGTCCAGAAAAAGGGCTAGTCAGTGCGAGTCTTGTTCAGCCCACTGTCCTACTGTTTGAGAAATAACAAATTAGCCTTAACAGTATTTTATTACTGAACAAAATGTACAAGGTTTACAAATGAACAAGAAATGTTTCAACGACCTAATATTCAGTTACACAGACAGACAAAATATTCTTAAGTTAGAGTTACTAAGGTGTCTCTATAACAAAAAAACTTCCATAATATAGCTCTCACATATCATGATATATTGGAGGCATGGGATTCTACACAAGGTAATTGGAAGGCTCAGTTTATTCCTGGTCCCCACCCTCCTGTTCACATTCTAATGAGAGAGTCAGGAGATAATCTCTCTATACCTATACCTATACCTATGCCTATACCTATACCTATACCTATACCTATACCTATACCTATACCTATACCTATACCTATACCTATACCTACCTATACCTATGTAAATTTATCTATTTATCTATCTATCATCTATTTATCTAATCTATCACCTATCACAATAACTTATCTGAGGGAAAAGAGGTAAATATACTAATTTTCTAAGCCTGTATTTGAAAACAAAGTGCATGTGTATAAATTTGGTATGAGGGATGGCTGAGTTGAAGAGGAAGAAGAGAATTTGTGTTTTACTTCTCTTTTGACTGTTTGATTTAACAATTTTGCATTATCCATTATTCTTAATTTAAAATATATTTTTTCTAATTGAATCAAATCACTGAAAAAATATATAGTTCATAAGTGTGAACATAAGAGTGCGAATTTTCAGTAATATAGCATCGCTAAGTCTGATATAAACCTGATTTTGTCCTATTGGAAAATAAATACAGGGTCATATTAATCAGCTTAGGTTGCCAAAACAAGACACCATAGACTGGGTGGCTTAAACAACAGGAATTTATTTTCTCACAATTTCTTAGGCTGGAAGTCTGAGATTAGAATGCCAGCGTGGTCACATTCTGGTGAGAGACTACTTTTCCCAGCTTGCGGATGGCCAGCTTTTCACTGTATGTTTTTCCTTCATGAGTGTGCATAAATTCTTTTAAAGCCACCAATCCTATCAAATGAGGACCACACTTTTTGGACTTCATTTAACTATAATTATCTTCAAAAAACTCTATTTCCAAATATAGCTACAGTGAGGGTGAGGGCTTCAACATATGAATTTTGGGAAGACACAATTTAGTTCTTAACAGGTTATTATAGAAAATTTGCAATGTAGAATAACATAAAGAACATACCATAATTTTTCATCTTTCCTCTCAAAGATAAACACTTTAACCTTTATCAATTGATAGTTATTAATAGTTTTATAATACCTGACATAATTTTTCCTTTTAAATATCAGAGAATTTGAAAGAATTTATTAGTAGCATAGTTTTAAAAAAAAAACCTGAAAATAAAACTGAGGAAGTCAGATATATAGATGAATGATATATGTTTATTCATTCATTGATTCATTCATTCACTTAGGATTCACTGTGTTTCAGGATCCATTCCTGCCAATTTGGCAATAAACAGGCAGGAATTAAACAAATTATTACAGTTTTAACACAAATTTATAAATTTAATGAAAGAAAAATGCAGTATATGGTTAAGTAGATTAAATTAATCCTGCATATGAGGGTAAAAAGGACAGAAGAGGTCAGAAAATTCTCTTTAATGAGAAATACTGTTAATTTATTGAGGATTATTTGTATGTGATGGATGTATGATTATATTCTTGCTGCTTTCAATATTTTCTTTCTTTTTGGCTTTTGAAAATTTGACTATGCTATGTCTTGGTGTAGATGTCTTTGAAATGTTTCTACTAGAAGTTCATTGAGCTTCTTCTATGTAGTCTAATGTGTTTTAATAAATGCGGGATGCTTCCAGTCATTATTTCATCAAGTATGCTTTGCATTCCTCTCTCTTTTTTCTGTTCTCTGGGATTCTGGTTACATATATGTTGATATGTATAATGGGAGTATCCCTCAGATTTGATAGGCTCTATTCATTTTTCTTTATTTGTTTTTCTTTCTATTTCTCAGACCAGATAAGCTCTATTGATCTATTTTTAAGTTTACTGATTCTTTCTTCTGCAAGTTTAAAACTAATGCTGAGTCCCTTTATAGATATTTCATTTCAGTTATTGTACTTTCCAAATTCAGAATATTTGTTTGGTTCTTTTTTATAATTCCTGGCTCTATTAGTATTCTCAATTTGATTTTTTAAAAACGTATGTGAATTTCTTTAGTTCTTTAAACATAATTATAATAACTGATTTAATACCTTTGTCTAGCATGTCCAAAGTCTGGCATCAATAGGGACAGTTTCTATTGATTGTTTTCTTCCTATGTATAATTCATATTTTTCTGTTTCTTTGAAGTCATTCAATTTCTTTTTGCTAAAAACTGGACATTTTAAATAATGTGATGTGGCAACTATGAAAAGCAAATTCCTCTCTCCCCAGTGTTTGTTGTTATTGTTCTTTTTCGTTTAGTTAGTGACTATCTCAAACTACTTCTATAAAGTCTGCATTTCATGTGACATATGCAAAAGCTTTGAGGGAATAAAGAGCCTAGTGCCTAAGAGAAACTTAGGGAAGATCTATGAAGTTGGAGTAAAACAAAATAGAAGGATAAGGCCACAAAAATGATTTTGTACATTATAACAAATTATTACAGGTAATGACTAATGAGTAATTAACGAATAACATAAATGGATTTTATTTTTTATTATTATTTATGCCTACAGCACCTGGTCTTCTTAGGTGGTCTCCTATCCAAGTTCTAACCAGGCTCAACCCTGCTTAGCTTCCAAGATCAGACATCGGGCTTGTTCAGGATGGCGTGGCCATAGACCATTGAATGTGGCTCCACTGGGGTACAAACCACATTTCTTCTGCATGTAAAGCAGACGTGCTAACCGCTACACTATGGAACCATGTCCATAATTGGATTTTAGTAGAAAGATCACTTAGGCTGCTGTGTGGAGAATTAAGTGAATACAATAAGAGAAACACTGGTTTTCTAGTTAGAAATGACCTTCTATATAGGCCATAGATGATCATGGCTTAGAAAACAATAACAGCAAAACATAGCTAAAATATATTGAACACTATTTCAATATTGACTTATGTATATTTGTGCAATGTCCTGTAAGATAGGTACTATGATTAGCCCTATTTTGCAGGTAAACAAACCAAAGTTATAGACAGGGTAAAGAGTTTTCCTGGGTCACAGAGTTATTAAATGGAAGAGAAAGCATTGAAATACAGGCAGTTTGGTTTTGGAGTCTGTACTCTTAACTACTATATTATACTATACTATATTATACTATACTATTTATAAGTTAAGAATAAATTAGCGTGAAGAAGATGGATAATTGTATAGTGGAACATGTTATTTTGAAGATAGGATTGTTAGGAGTTGGGGATAAATCTATTAGAAATATAAAGGAGAGAGAATAGTTATTCCAGATTCCTGGAATAAATTACTTAGATAAAAAAAAGATACTAAATGGTAAATGCTGGAAGAGAAACACTTTTGAGAAAAGAGGAAATTTAGAATTTAGTTTGAGACATGTGCAAATATTCATATATAATATTGTATATACTTATTTATGTAGAAATATCAAATGGGCATTTAGAATGTGGGTTCTAGAGTTTAGAGGACCAATATGGGTTGGAGGCATAAATGTGTGACTGGGAATATATTTATTCTATGTGGTCATGGCAGCAGATAAGATGGTTTCGTAAACAAGAAGGAGCAAGAAACTTGATGATGCTAAGGTGTATCAATGTTTAGGGTATGGGTAATGGTTTCTATAACACAAATACAGAGCAATTACCTGTCTCCAATAAATAATGATCGACCCTTGGTTGCTATTAGTTCATTTGTAGAAAATGCATTGAGATTTAGAGTCGTTAATGGATTGTGTGGCATATGGAATGTTAGTCATCTTGATGTGATTAGTAAAAAAGATTAGAGGTTCTCTAGATGGTTCCTGATACAATCATTTAAAATCAAGTAGGCAGTACCAATAAACCTACTAAGTTATATGTGGTGGGATCAAAAACTAACAGAAAAGATTCATGTCTATTGAGGAAAGATTGGTTACATAGCAATCCTGAAATACCAGATTCTAAATTGAGGTTGTTTTTTGTTAGTTATACTTTTAGTAAAGTGCAAAAAGAAGGGGAGAAGGTAAGAACTATTGGCCAGAACTTTTCTAA